CCAAGACCACAATTTGAGATCATTTCTATTTCTGAATTCACTTTCTAGTTTGTTTTCTGTGATAGAAAGGAAAGCCTGGGTGATGACAATTGCCCTTTGTATCTCTAAGCAGTTGGAAAACTTTATACCCCAAAATCTGGTCATTCCGTACGTAAGAGCTAGGGTTTGTGCATATCATAGAGGCAGTTGGTGGTAGCAGACCTCGAAGTTTGTGATACAGGGAATCGTTAGGCACGCTTCAAAGTTCATGCAAGAAAAAATAAGGGAGCAACTTTGCAATGTTAGACTGTGAAAATTTGTCTTAACTGGCCTTATGTCCCTTTATTAATAAAATAAACGTTATATTGATATTCCCATCATATGTGATAGATCTGGATGCAGGCTATTAGTACGTAATTTAAGCTTCTTTTTAAGTTGCACCAAGTTTTCTGTTTCACCACTTGATTAAAAAGTTGTTAAAGTAAACATTAACAGCTGAGCGTGCAGAGAGGCTTCCTAAAATGCAGCATTTTGAAAACTGAGGCGGCTGCATTAAAAATTGAAAACATACTTGGAGGATATGAAAATCAAGGAGAAATCTTTTGGGGGTGGAGCAGGGTTCGAGGGGACTAAGGGGAGTGAAGCAGTTCAGCGTGGTTTTGCATAGTTCTCCAGTGAAATATTTTTACTCACTTTGCAATGAAACTGGACTGCAGAACAAATCTAGATGGCATGTCTTGGCGCACGGGAAAAAGAAGTAATTGACTTAGATGTGGAAAGTTGTGTTGCCCATGGTGAGATAACATGAGTTGTCTGGAGTTGTTATGAGATTACTGAGGAGAGGTATTTATTACATGGGTTGATGAAAATCAGGCCTTTGGATAGAACCCAGTGTCCAGAATACTTTGGATTTGGTCCAAAATCCAAAGTGTATTCTATCCCAATCCAAATTGCTTTGGATGGAATACTTTGATGGAGAAGGGGAAAGTGGCGCATCAAGAGAGACGGGATTTTTTTGCAACCCGGTTGGAAGATTCTGGACTGATAAGAAACAGAGAGGTTTGAGCAGTGACAAAGGGATGCTCTGTATGTCAGAGCGTTCACCGTCAGGCTGATTCCTACTGGGATTTAAAAGTCTTTTTTTTCGATTGGGGAACAGGTTGCACAACCTAAGAGAGCAGTGCCCCTGTCTCCTCCCGTTGTCCCTTTAAACTTGCAGCTTCTTCTCTGGGCTGCCTTATCGTATAAAACATGTTATAAAACCAGCCTGCACCAGCTGTAGGGAGAAAAAAAGCGGGAGCCAGCCGGGTTTAAGTGACTCCAATCTTCTTTTTCACTGCTTTCTTCCTTTGCTCACTTTTCTTTCTGTGGCTGAGAACCGGTTATTGGGAAAATGCAAAGGGTGTCCTTTGTGGAACCGGATTTGAGAGGTTTAACTCTTCTTGGAGAGACCTCTTCTATGCTTAACTTTTCTGTGGTGTTACACAGTTAAATATAATAATACATTGCAACTCCACAGGGGCGGTTTAGTGAGGGATTTCCATACCAAAACGTCAGTGGCAACCTCTTACTTTTGCCATTCATGCCTGATAGAAGAGCACGATGGTTACGCTGTATACTGGGTGTTTTACTGCTTGCGGTTTGTAGAAATCCACAGAGAACTGTGCTGGGGGTTGGTGGAAAAAAAAAAGAAATCACTTCCCTGAGCATTTTCCTATAAAACATGGCTAGTTACACACTGATTAGCTGCGTACTAAGAAGCTGCAAGGGAGCCTTAGCCCTCTTTTCTGTAATTCACTGCACACAGGCACATCGGTGTGTGTCCTCACAGCCCCCAACTTGCGTGGGAGCGCAGTAAATTACAAGATAAAAGGTCAGACTTGGATGATGTGAATAGCAACGCTCACCGTTTTCTGCTGAGGGGGAAAGTGCGGTGTTTGAAGTATTTTTATACCTGGGGAAGAAGGGAAAAGAGATCGTCGTACCTGTGCTCCGATTCGTTTTTATTTTTCACGTCGCTTAAATCCTTGGGTTAGTTTACAGTTCTTTAGTCTCTAATACTCCTCAAGAAGGACTCATAAAAATAATAAACTTTGACTGAAGGCGTGTGATGGAAGTGGCCATTTTATGCCAATTCACTGTACTGAGTTAAAATATTTAAATATTTTCCACTGACAAGGCAGTTAAGTGAATTCTTTGGCTTCTTTTAGTACTATTTCAAGCTATGTGCCGTACAGAAAAATGGTTTATCTGATTAGATGATGATAAGCATTACGGCAGTGATGGAGTTGGATGCTAGCTGAGGCAGAGCGTGGCGGAACCAGCAGAAATATAAGGTTACTTCAAAGTGTCTCTTGCTGCTTGTGCAAAAAAGAAATTGATGGCTATTATTTGCTTGTAATGGATCCAGTGCGACTGCTCTAAATAGCAACGTGAGCCGCAGCAAGACTGGGCTCAGAGAGGAGCAACCTTGTCTGCGCTGTGCGCTTCCGGTATTTGAAATATAAATTTTCTCATTCTGGTTTTACCGTATTACAGAAAGTTAATTCTCAGTAAAAAATAGTAGAATTGTTTACCTATTTTAGCCCTATGTGGGACCTACAATAAAAATGCCGATGCAGCATTCAGCAGCAGCGCTGAAGCTTGAAGGTAAATTCTTCTGCCTTGGTCTTGATGAAACATCCTCTGCTGCCGTCTGAATCAGGAAAAAACCAATCAAACGCCAAAACAACTAAACTGGAAAACCTGAGCAAGTCTTGAACTGTTGCCAGGTGCTCTCCAAATCCTATTGCTGTGTACCAGATTTAGAGATTAAAGGATAGATTTGTTTTCATAGGAGAGATGATGGCAGGGTGTTGCATGTGACTTCGCTCTAACCTCAGTGAGCAGGGTCTCATCAAAGTCTCCTCATGCCTTCCCCAGTGTTGGCTGGCTGAGGATTACATCCTCCTGGAGTGCTCCAGAGCATAGGAAAGTTGAGACACATCTCCAAAACAGTGCCAGGCTATTCTGGAAGGCTTCATCTTGCAGAAAATCCTGCTCTTTATTCTGAAGATAGCATTCAATTCTTTAAATTCCAGCACCTCAGTCAAGAGGGTGTGTCCAGCTGGCTCCTTTCTGGTCCACACCCTTCTTTTAAATAGCATGGCTTTTTGCTTTTTTTTTTTTTTTTTTTAAACTCTGTGTAGCATTTTGAACTTTACATTCATAAGTAGCGCATCTAAAGAGAATGTACTGCGTAAGTGTACCTAAGGGAATATTTTCAAGGACTGTATTTATGACTCTATAGCCTTCTGTTAGTGGTCCTAAAGGAAGGAGCTGTCGTGAGTGTGAAATATAACTGTAATGTGGTGTTGGTACCGTTGCAGAAATGTTAGAGGATCCTAAGTCTTTATATTCCATTTCTAATGTCAGAAAACCTTCTCATTTAAATCAGGGCTGTAGTAATATCCACTATGTTTTAAACCGTTGGCATAGCGTTAGTATCAGGTGTAAGGCAGAACTGACATGAGATTCCAAATAAAACCTGTCAGCATTGTTACTAAAATAGTCATCAATGCCATCTTGCATTTGATTGTTGTTTTCCCGAGGTATTTACTATTTGAACTGCGTATTCCATGTTTGGCTTCCCTTACTAAAACTGCCAATCTCAAGAGCTAAGTCTCACCTGGTCAACTTGAAGAACGGTTTTGGGGGAATAACACACTTGGCATCGTTCTGAATTTTTTCATGAAAATTTGTTCGTACAGTATAATCATATCAGATTGTTGGGGCTGGTTTGCTCAGTGGTTTGAGCGTGGTGCTGACAACAATGACAACACCGAGATCGCAGGTTCAATTCCCGCTCGTTCCCCATGTGTTGCCTGGTCTAGTCGAGAGGTGGCGTCCCTTCTCTAAGGTCCCTTCCAGCCTAGGCCATTCAACGATTCTCTATTTTGAGATCAGGGCATTGATGCTGGCTTTTTCCTATTTGTTACAGAATTTCTTTGTAAGATTATTATAATTTAGTCTAAATGCAAGGGGTTTACAATTTTATGAATACTATCAGCCCTAGAAGCAGCTTCCTTCACATTAAATTCATTCAGTTTTAAAAACAATTTTAAAGGGCATTAATTGAGCTAGTCACCTGTTCAGAATTCTGAACAGAAGCCTAAGTGAGACTATTCTGATAAAAGATAAATCCCTCAATTCACCCAAACTGTACCTTAACTGTTTAATAACAGTTGCACTCGTAGCTTTTAAGATGTAGCTCCACTGCATCCACATATAAATAGAATATACTGGCAGGATTGTATTTACCCTGAGCCTTATTTTGATAGTTACATTGACATTTAAAAATTTGATTCTAAGCTCTTTCAATGGATGCAGCTGAAGACATCTTCACAAGTTACTGAAGTGGGCTGAAAGACTTCAGAAAATGGCTCACGTGTTTTCTGTATCTGTATTTTTCAGGTTGTTTTATTGAAGCCAGGGAGTCATGAAAGAAACTCAAGAAGACAACTTGGATAATGAACAGAAGATAAAAAGAAAACAAAAAGAATGTGGCATATAAAGGGTATAATACCTGGAGGTATTAGATCTGACTCATATTTATAAAAATGAGACGAGCTTTCGCAAAATACAAGTTATCTTAGACAGTCATCAAGCTTGGAGCCATGCTGTTGAACTAGAAAGTCTCCTTTTCCCCATTCTCCTTTCTGACAGGTAACAAAGGATTGGTGAATTATGATTTTCCCAAGTTGGAAGCACTAATTTTTATCTATATAGTTCATCCTTATGAATATATAAGGAGTTAAACATTGCATATTTAATGTGGATTATAATGGGAAACTGACTCGTTAACAAAAATGGCCACTTTTAAGGACTTGGTTTCAAACTGAGCTGGAGCCTCCCAATGCACTTTGTACAATTTGGGGAAAGGTGTGCTGAATGGCCTGCTTTGGGAGGCCATGATGACCTGTAGTAAAAGGATATCATCTTACTGTTGATATCTTTGAAGACTCATAAACAGAAACAGAAAAATGAATGGTGGAAAGGAGTGTGACGGAGGGGACGCGGATGGAGGGCCACCAGCAGTACAAGTTCCCGTTGGTTGGCAGCGACGGGTGGACCAAAGTGGAGTGCTCTATATCAGGTAAGCTTCTCCCGGGTGGCTATTGGGCTTGGTTTTGGTGTAGTTTTGCCAGAATGTGTGCTAAATTAGTGGCTCAGCTTATCTTCTGTACTCCAAAACTTCAAGAACTTGTTCTTTTGGAAGTGCGAAGTTATTTTTTGTTCTTTTGGTGTTAGTGGAGTCCATTTATGTCAGGTGTGGCATTTGCATGCCCTTAACGTACTCTCAGATCTAATATTGCTTGGTCTTGAATATTTGATAATCCTTACTATACATTTTGCTTTAGGCACGAATAGTTCTTCATTACTTATTATTGTCATACGGATTTTAAAGCTAAGCGGTAGCAGGTTCAACCTCACTTAATACCTTTGTTATTCCAGTCTTTCACAATGAAAGGAACCAGAGTTATATGCCACACCTGGGACAGAAGTCTCTGTTGTCTTTTACCTACTCCGAGATGCATAGGCATTGCATTTTCCTTGCACCAGCACAGGGTTTTTATAAGAACTTTTGCTGATTGAATTCAGAAAGCAGCAGTCAGGGATGCAAACAGTTCATGGCAGGTAAGGTAGAGCAGGACTCTCTTCTGTCAACACCATGACTTCAGCTCAGCTCACGTTGTGTCACACAACTTTATCTTGACGTACTCTATTCTCCCGAGTGGCAAGTGATAGGACAAGGGGAAATAGCCGTAAGTTGCACCAGGGGAGGTTCAGGTTGGATATTAGGAAGAATTTCCTTACTGAGAGGGTTGTCAGGCATTGGAATCAACCTGACCAGGGAGGAGTTGAGTCACCATCCCTGGAGGTGTTTAAGGGAAGGGTAGATGTTGTGTTGAAGGACATAGGTTAGTGGTGTTGATAAGGCTGGGAAAAGGTTGGACTCAATGATCCTGAAGGTCTCTTCCAGCCCAAACTGTTCTATGATCCTATGATTCTTCTTCCCAAAGTCTTTTCTATGTTCCAGGTCTCCATCATACTTTCATGTCACTCCCTTTTGATAGAAAACTTAAGTGGTGTAACAACTATGTAGCTGCAGAAAGCATCAGTTTTTATATCTTCTGTGAAGGTTCTGTATTGAGTGGCACTGAAGTTCTCCAGCAAGGTTTGCCTCTGTGGATTCCCCACTTTTCTCCTGTAGAAAAAAAACCAGGAACACAGACCTAAATCCCAAAATTTTTATTTTATTTGGGCTTTTTATTAGCTTGTTGGATTTTTTTTTTTGCTTCACCCTGGAACAGTCACAAAGAAATGCGTTGAAATTACTATTAAACAAATGTGTTCAGACAAACAGACTATAAATTAAATGTTATTGGAAAAAATATCAAAGTTAACTTTGACAAAATATGGGTACATTAGATTTACATCCTAGAAGTCTAAATGACTATCATTCTGTTATTTGCTTAATCTTATTCCACTATTCTGTGACTAAAGTAACCAGTTCTTCACAACATTTTTTGTCTTACCAATACAGAATTCTCTAATGAGTCAAAGCATACTTCAGTTTTACACTAAACTACCATAAAAGATCAAATGCATTCCAGCATTTCTTGTTTATATTCTCAATTAGCAGAAGCAAACAAAATCCATGTCAGTGATACACATGTCAGAGATAAATCACCTTCCCCTTGTATTTCTCATTACAGCTATAATTTACTGGGCCTCTGCCTGAGTTAAAAATCAATGAGAAAGAAAAAGTTGTATGTTGCGGGGGTTTTTTCCTATAATCTCTGTATCTAGGCATCAGGGCATTGAATGCTTTGGTATTTTTATATACCTGATGATCCTACCTGCTTTTGAGCTTCGTTTACTACAGCTGTAAGGAACAAGCCACAAAGTTTGCGCTGGTTCTTCAAGCAGGTGTCTCACATGTTTATAAATTAATAAATACTGGTCTAATTTGGAGTTATTTGCTTTTCTATTTTCTTTTCATATATGCTCTTTTTGTTCAGGGGGACTTTCTTAATATTACTATTGTGAATTGCATTACACAAAACACCTTTTTTGTTCTAGTTGACTGTATTAAGCAAGTTTACCAGTTGCCTTTTTTGAGCTTGAGAAAGCTTGTATGATCTCCCCAAATTTTGCCTATGTATTTTTATTTGTTTTGCCTCCTTCATCCAACGGATAATTTTCTGATTGCCTTCTATAAATCTTTCTGATGAAGGAAATGCACTTGGTATGGTCTATGGTCTAGAGCTCTTACATTCTCATTTGGTGAAAGGCACAGAGTAGGACGTGTTGGATGGAAGTCAAATAGTTCAACCTCCTGCGTGACTTGGAGCACTTGCAGCACTCTTGTGGGTCAGCCCTTGGTTTCACCAGCTGCATCTTCAAGGGTTGAGTTTCCACAACCTCTCTGGGTAACCTGCTCTAGTGCTGCGCTGCCCTTCGGAAGGAAAAACCACCCCGAGAAGGTGCACGGCATTTACTGAGAGAATAAAAGGTCAAACAATATTGACTCACAAGCTATCCAAGGGAAAATTAGTGTATATATTAAGATCTGACATGATTTAACTAGAATAGATGATCCCAGCTGAATATGGACTCGTTCTCTTTGTGCTTCCTTATAAAGCCCACATCTTTTTCTATCAACTGTCAACAGCTGCTTTGGATTCAATCCATTAATTAGCTGGTTTTTATTACCTGGTAAAAACACTGAGTTGAGTCTCTGTGCTTTTCTTAGTAAAAGAGTGGTGCTGCCTTAAAGTAGGACCTAAATCTCCCCTTTAGCTTACTTTTCATGAACAGTCATCAGTGGAATAAACTAAGAAAAGCTCTTTAAAAACAGGAACAGATTTCACAACCGTCAGTAACAGATCCTAGTATATTGTAGAATTTGCTCTTTCATGTTTCTTTGGGAGACCTAAAACTTCCAGACGGCCTCAGTTCTGAAAACAAACCAGTAGTTTCTTCCAAAGGCAGTTGTACATTATCCTTTGCAGGATAGAAGCGTGAGGAAGTTTGTTCATGCAAAAGATACCGTGCAATGACAGGGGTCTGCCCAGGAACAAGGCAGAAACAGAAAAATTTGGTCTTTTTTACATTTTTGTTGTTTCTTCTGAACAAATAACCATGCTAGTACATGCAGTAGGGGTGCTGAGCCCTGCGTGCTGCAGATTGAGTGGGCTGATCTTGGTAGGTGTGAGGGTCCAGCCCTTCCTTTTACACCCACGGACCATCAGTGCGGGTCTGTCGTTCCCAGTCCCCAGTTACCTCCTCGTGCCTGAGCTGTGTGCCTAGGCACGCCGCGTGCTAAAGGAAGGTTACTTAAATTACTTTATTCTAGGAATAAGAAGGGAAAATTGAACTCTGATGGTATAGCTGCTCAGCGTGCCTTTTTTACCCAGGCAAATCAAATGGCATCATGACTCCGGAGCATATTCTCAGGGATGCCATTTAACACAAGCTTTATAAGCATCGCAGAAAATTTCTGTAGAGGTTTTACGTATGGATGGGATAGCGTAACGCAAATGCCAATCGGAGTTTCTCCCAGGGAACTTGTTGCATCTTCAAATACTGACCTCACCTGGGGTGAGCAGTCGCTCCTGTGCGAGGTCAGAACAGGCTGGGAAGGTCCAAAGCGAACGGCCGGCACTGGAGACACGGAGCCAAAGCAGAAAACAAGTGATGCTCACCATGGCAGCATCATGGTTTAACCAGCCTAGAGCATCTATCACTTCATACCCGTGCTGTTCTCTTTAGATTGCTCCTTGCTACCTTGCTTACCCTCAGAACTGTCACTGTTACACATGCACGTCCTGGGAAGTTCTCCCTAAAATAAGTATTTCAGGGCAAGTCTGGCAAATAAAGTACTTATTTAAACTGTCAGTGCAAGTTGATATGTCACTTGCAGATGGTGCTTTACACGTGACTTAGTTCTTGCACAGAATTAGGTGTTTATACGTTGGGCTTTAAGTGCGAAGTTTGTTATAGTTTGGAATTTTTGTCTGTTTTCATGATCCAAACTTAAGTTGTTTTGTTAAAATAAGGACTATTTACAGCTGAAGAACCAGTGTTTTAGCCAGTCCTCATAAATTACTGTATTCTTTCCCTGATAAACCGTTTAGATGGCAAAGTAATAAAGAGCAGTCTGGAATTTAGAGGCTTGTGACGTGAGAACTTTTTTTCATCCGATGAATTAGTGATTTTGCCTTAACAGAATTTCCAGTGTCCTATTTTTGGATACGGAGATAATGATTTTCAGGTGGGAGTTAGAAAAATCCGAGTGCAGTTCATCAGAAACTCACTGGACTGGCTTCTCAGCGCGATACTTCTCGGTGTCGACGAGAGGGTGGAAATTGTAGCTGAACAAAACAAAACTGTTTATGCCACTAAGAGACCCAACCGCCACAGTTTCCTTCCCGTTCCCTTTACTGTATAGGTTTTCTTGTACTTCTTGAAACTCTCTTTTGTAGTTTTCTTTTTTAAATTAGGTCCCAGTCCTAAAAAGTACAGCTGCCTGTCATTCCTGCGTGGAACTGCAGCGCTGCGATAGAGGGGGAGGAGGTCCACGGGGACTGTGCTCCGGCTCCGTGTTACGCTTTATAGGAGAGAGGAGGGAGAAAAATGATAGTAGTGTTGTTAAGGCTTTCATGCCAGACTGTAGAGTGAATAGTAAATATCAATAATCTGTGGCTTCTCTCTGCATTTGCTGTGTTTCTTTTTCTATAGTAAAATCTTCTTTTAAAATGTGCTTTTGGGGGCTGTTTCTGATAAGTAGCATCTCGGCATCTTGACTAAAAGCAAGAAGTACTATGAAACAAATACAAAGTCTTAGCTGCATTGTTTTAAACACTCTCTATATGAGCTGTTAGAACGGTAGATGGAAGTCATGACCTGTCAAATAGCTTGTATTCATCATTTTTGTCCCTTTACAGTCCCAGTGGGTCTTTATTATCCTGCTTGGAGCAGGTGAAGACTTACTTGCTGACTGATGGAACATGCAAGTGCGGCCTAGAATGTCCTCTTGTTCTTCCCAAGGTAAAAAAAAACCCACTGTTTTGGATCTCTGTGCCATAATCCGTGTGAGTTAACTCTGTCAGCTGATGTGCTATGCCATGGCTTAGGCTCTGTTCAGATTGCGTATGTAAAATAAGTGGTATGCACCTAGAGATTTGCCAGGAAATACAAAACTAATCTCCCTTCTGCCTTCTGCCCTCATGGAAAAGATAGGACTCAGATTTTATGGTGTTTTAACATTTTCCTGTCAAACTGGAAACCTACCATCGACAGCGTTATGTTAACATGAGAATCGGAATGAGACGCTGACTTGCACGAGAGCTTCAGTATCAGCGTCACAATTTTATCATCTATGCAGAAATTGTAAACTTTTCTGCTTAATCACAGAACAACCTCAAAGACGTATGACTTCTTTTTTTCTTCTATTTTTTTCTTCCCAACCCTTTCTACCGAAGAGTGTTAAACTTTTGCTTTATGATAACTTTGATGGCTGTTTACTTATTACAAATATATTCACTATTTATAATTTTGGAACATACTTAGAAGGTTATCTCTTGGGCTGTGTAGGAGCAGTCAGCTACCTCTAAGGAACAGAGGCAAATTTAAGCTTATGTAAAATTTCTGGTTTAGCTGTATTTAGTGGGTTTGCCTATAACCATTACTTTAAATGTTGGAATTTTTACTCTCAGGTCTTTAATTTTGATCCTGGAGCTGCTGTGAAGCAAAGAACTGCTGAAGATGTTAAAGCGGACGAAGATGTCACCAAACTATGCATACATAAAAGGAAAATTATTGCTGTGGCTACACTTCATAAAAGCATGGAAGCACCACATCCTTCACTAGTTCTAACTAGTCCTGGTGGTGGAACAAGTGAGTAAAATCATGCAGAATCTTTTAATTACCTCATTTTAAGTATATAATTACTATGCAGAACCACCCCCGAAAGTCTAATGTATCTATGAGTGCAATAGTAAACAGAATCAAGGGAAAAATGGAGGTAGTAATTAGAGAGATGTAGGTAGATAGAAAATGAGTCTGAAAAGCAGGTCATCGCAGACTAAGAGCATGATTTTCTTGGAAAAGATATCAGATTGTTCTAGACAAAGAAAATACATTAGCTCTCATCTTTTGGAACTGTAGTAATATGTCTGATATTCTGTCACATGGGAAATTAGACAAGCAGAATAAAGTGATTATAAAGGGATTAGAATGTGGTTACGGACTTGGGTAAATGGGAAATTGTATTGCAAGGCAGAATATACAGCAGGAGATCTCCACTGTAATTTCTCAAGGATTATTTTTGGGGACCAACCTGGATTAGCATTTTAATTATCCATATCAACAAAAAATGAGGTAATTTGCTGGTGGATGAAGTTGACAGGTATTATCAAAACAAGAGGAAATCAAAACATGTTGTAAAACTGAGGGAATAGTTGAAACCTGGAGTAAAAGAAAAAAGGGTCGCAACAAATCCTGTTAATTGTAAGGTTTTTCACCTGGGGACTAGCGAAAAAAAAAGCTATTAGCTGTAAATTGTTGAAATAGAAGCCCTAGATATCTGCAGTATGGTGCAGATCGATGGGACTAAGAAGTACAAATGCCTTCCTGCGCTCGCCTGCAGCGCTCAGACTGAAACAGGGCAGAGGCTTTTCTCTTGGTGAACTGCAAAACCTGTTTCCTGAAAGTCATCTCAAAAGTGTTTGGCTTGGTCAACCTGGCAAAACGGTGGCTGAAAGGAGATGCAGTTGCCATCAGTGAAGGCATCAGGAGAATCGGCACCAGAAAATAAAGCTGCTTAAGCTAAAGGATAGAGTTAGCACTGAGACAAACAGCGACAAAACCAGAGTTGTGTAGAAAGTTAAACAGAAAATTAGGTACTTTCTCAGGATTACGTGAAAAGGTCCTGAAGTAGTCTTACAAATCCAGTCGATTTTAGGACAAAGGAGGGAAGTTACTTTTAAGACAGAGCTCGGTGAGTTATGGTTATTTATCCTGATGCATGCAACTTCTGGGAAACGGCCTTGATAATCTGAGAGATCTTTTGCAGCCCTGTATTGCTGTAATAAGAGCTGGCTGATTGCTAATCCCTCCACACCTGGACTTGAAAGTGCAAAATTGTAAGGATATAAAAATAAATAATAAATTTCAGGTGCTCAGACAATGTTAAGATACCAGTGCTGTTCACAGTGTTGATGGGCTCATGTATCTTCAAGTTGCTATTTATGATTTTAAAGCTTTGTTTAAATTGTTTTTTGCAATGTAATTGATGTTTTTAAAATGAACACTGCAGTTTAACAAATTACTATGCAATGTCCTTATATTTTCTTTTTTATTCTTGGAGTGGTATTGAAATTACATTTCTTTTTTCAAAAAATTAGCAAAATGAAGGAGGTAAACCCAGCTAAATACTAAAGACACCAAGTCAGATTTATGTGGTCTTGCCTTTTCTGTTGATCAGGATTTTGTGCTCTAAGCAAAGAAGAAAATTTCCCAATCAGTTGCCCTTGTAAATGAATTGCCTTTTCCTTTATTCACACTTATATTTGACTATTTTATTAGGTCCAACATTCAAGCTGAGGGTTCTCGTACATATTTCGTTTTGCAGTTCAGTCGTGAGATTTGTCCCCTAAATGAGACTTTGGTTGTATTTTGGGAAAGGTAACGTGTTTGTTTCTGTCAAGATGTAGCTGGTTTAGTAAATAGGATGAAGGCAGGATTGTCGGTGCCATCTGTCTCCTGTGGCCAGGCTGGAGGGAAGAAGGGAATCGGGTTCTTGGGAGTGGAGAAATTTAAAGGCACTTCTCTGAATTCATTTGAACGTAAAATCCGTAGCTCATTATTGAAGTTTAGGTTGGCATGTTCAGAGGCTGCATGTGAGGCACTCCAACTGAATTACAGATTCCCAGAGCAAGAAAACTGACAGAAAGTCTGCCAGACATGGAGCTGCTTCTGATAATATTCTTAAAATATGGAAAAAAACCCCACCTTTTTTAATACAGCTGATATTATTGGGCAGAAAAGGGTAGCAGTAGTGTGCTTGTAGGAGAGGGCGGTCTCAAAACTGGGCTTTACAGGAAATTTTCCCATTGTGGAGGAGCTCACGTGCGCATACCCAAATATCCCTAGGGCCTTTATCTGAAACCAACACAGAAGATTGAGCCCCTTAAATTTAGCATCCTCACCCCAAGCAAAACTTATTGTAGAAGCTGCAGGTAAAGCTTTAATTCAGTAAAGTAGTACGGAACGGTTCCCAGGAACAGATTTAACTCAGAGGACCAGAACTCAGTGCCTGCGGTGCCAGAGAGTGATGTCGAGCAGCGGGAGAAGCCTTGTGCAGCCGTGGTCCTCAGGTCTGTGCAATTAAGTGCCTGGCTGATTAGAAATCTGGGCCAAAGTCGTATGGCACAGCTCCCCATTCATCTGTGTCAGGGCCAGCGTTTGGGGCACCGAGAAATTAGTTGAAACCCTTGTTGGGCTTTGTTCCTCCTGCTCTCAATAGATGGTGCCAGAGGCTCCTTTTCTCTGCGAGAGCGATAGCCTGCTCCTCCTGCCAGCTCTTCTAGCGGGAGCCAAAATGGTGATGCTGGAGATTCAGGAGCCTCGGACGTTGGAGCTGATGGTTAGAAAGAAAAGACAAAAGGGAAGGAAAAAGATTTGAAGTTGCCCGTATTTATGCAGTCTTTCCATGGGATGTGGAGTTAAGGTCTGTACAACTGCCCTGTGTAGTAGGGTAGCACGCACCATTCCAGCAACTGCTGATGATTGAGGTATTATTTCTGTTAAGGCAAAAAGTTTAACCAAAAGGCTTTCTAGTTTTTATGAATATTTTCACATGCAGTACTTTTGCACTGAAATGTGCGGTACGGGATTTCAAAACCAATAACTGTTGTGTTCTTAATACCAGGTGCAACTCCGGTAGTTCCTACTCGAGCAGCAACTCCAAGATCGATGAGGAATAAATCGCATGAAGGAATTACAAATTCTGTGATGCCAGAATGTAAGACTCCTTTCAAGTTGATGATAGGGGCATCTAATGCCATGGGTAGGCTTTATGTGCAAGAAATGGCTGGAAGCCAGCAACAAGAACTTCATTCTGTCTATCCTAGGCAGAGATTGGGTAGTAATGAACTTGGACAGAAGTCTCCGTATCGTGGCAGTCACGGTGGGATGCCCAGTCCAGCTTCATCGGGCTCACAGATATACGGAGATGGCTCAATCTCTCCTAGGACTGACCCACTTGGAAGCCCTGATGTTTTCACAAGGAACAATCCCAATTTTCATGGAGCACCCAACTCTAGTCCTATTCACATGAACAGGACACCTCTATCTCCACCGTCAGTAATGCTACATGGTTCTCCCATACAGTCATCGTGTGCAATGGCTGGAAGGACTAATATACCTCTTTCCCCAACCTTGACCACAAAAAGCCCAGTAATGAAAAAACCCATGTGTAATTTTTCAGCTAGCATGGAAATGCCACGAGCAATGTTTCACCATAAACCACCCCAAGGCCCACCCCCACCTCCTCCACCGCCTTCTTGTGCTCTTCAGAAAAAGCCATTAACATCAGAAAAGGATCCACTTGGCATACTTGACCCTATTCCTAGCAAACCAGTGAATCAGAACCCCGTCATCATTAACCCTACTACTTTCCATTCAAACGTCCACTCTCAGGTACCCGTGATGAATGTAAGCATGCCTCCTGCTGTCGTCCCTTTGCCAAGTAACCTTCCTTTGCCAACTGTAAAACCTGGTCACATGAACCATGGAAGTCACGTTCAAAGAGCTCAGCATTCTGCTTCAACTTCCCTCTCTCCTTCGCCGGTGACGTCCCCGGTTCACATGATGGGATCCGGGATTGGAAGGATTGAGGCTTCTCCCCAAAGATCACGTTCTTCTTCCACGTCGTCAGATCATGGAAATTTCCTGCTGCCTCCAGTAGGACCGCAGTCATCCTGTAGTGGTATTAAAGTTCCTCCCAGGTCCCCGAGGTCAGCAATAGGGTCACCGAGACCGTCTATGCCATCTAGCCCTTCCACCAAGCACGATGGACTTAATCAGTACAAGGACATCCCTAACCCGTTAATTGCTGGAATGAGTAATGTATTAAATCCTCCCAACAATGCAGTTTTTAACACTGCGTCGGCTGGAAGTGGTTCCTTGAAGAGTCAGCCTGGTTTGCTGGGAATGCCTTTGAATCAGATCTTGAACCAGCACAACGCTGCCTCTTTTCCGGCAAGTAGTTTACTCTCAGCAGCAGCCAAAGCACAGCTAGCAAATCAAAATAAACTTGCTGGTAACAACAATAACAGCAGTAGCAATTCTGGACCTGTTGCCAGCGGTGGCAACAACGAAGGACATAGCACTTTAAATACCATGTTCCCTCCTGCTGCCAATGTGCTCCTACCGACGACTGAAGGGCAAAGTGGCCGAGCAGCACTGAGAGACAAGCTGATGTCTCAGCAAAAAGATCCTCTGAGGAAAAGAAAGCAGCCGACCACCACGGTGTTGAGTTTGCTGAGACAGTCTCAGTTGGACAGTTCCGGAGGTTCCAAAGCTGGATCTGATTTGATAAGAAAGCAAAGTCAAAGCTCCTTTCCCATCAGTTCGATGTCCCAGCTACTTCAGTCCATGAGTTGTCAAAGCTCTCACATGAGCAGCAATAGTACCACCAGCTGTGGGAGCTCAAATACTGCTTTACCCTGCTCTGGTAACCAGATGCATTTTGCAGACACCAGTATGAACTCTGGCAGTCTCCAGAACTCGCTGGCACAGAGTTTACCCTTGCGAGGGGAAGGTGTGCACTGCCAGAACACCAACACTAACTTTGTCCACGGTACTAGCCCGGGCACAACCAACCACCTTGCGGGTTTAATAAATCAGATGCAGGCTAGCGGGAACTGTGGGATGCTCAGTCAGTCAGGAATGGCTTTAGGAAATTCGTTACATCCAAACCCACCTCAGTCGAGAATCCAGGCATCCTCCACTCCAGTGATACCAAACAGCATTGTTAGCAGCTGTAATCAAACAAGTCCTGAAGCAGGTACGTTTCCTTCTGAAAGGATACCCTTATGTTTGACTGCTTGGAAATATGTGATCGCTATTTTTAAATGGGTTCCTTCTACATATCTGCATTTTAAATTTGAGTTTGCCAGTATGAGAAGCCTGCCTATTTCATGCTGATACCCAGATACTCAAAAATAAACCAAAGAAACACCAGTGGTAGACTAAAATATGTCTCCCTTTTTCTGAACAAAATCATCTGGGCCTCCTTTCTGTGACAGCTCTTGCTCTGCATAAATAAAATCCATGCACTTTTGTATGTATTCAGACCTCAGCTTTTGTCACTTGCCCAAATAAATTGGGGTGTTTGGGGTTTTTTTTTTTGCAGCACGCCCTGCTACTTCAACCTTGGAATGCTGTGGCTAACCTGGCAGTGTATGTCCAGGCTATACAGGTGTTCTTTACTACTTGCATGAAAGAATTGTTCTTGTCAGAGATTGGAGGAGATAGTAGGAGTACAAAAGTTTACAAAATAACCCTTTGCGGATGAATGCCGAATCTGTGTTTGCCTTTATCGCGGTAATTTTATTAAGCTGGTAATTAAATGATTGAATAAACAGTATATTCAGTTGGCAGAGTGTAGAGAGAGGTTTCCTGGTTTAATCTTCAGGGAAGGCTTGGAGAGGAAGCAGATATTCTGCTGTTCTGTCTCCGTGCTGTTCAAAGATATAAGAGAGACAGCTCAAAAACACGTGTTCCATTTAACTACTACTGGTTGAGCAGTGAATGCAGTTTTGAAAGCTGGTACTGTGTTAATTTCTTAAGCAGAAAGAAAACCTTGTGTTTGCTATTTCAGCCTTTCAGCTTGGTTAATTTTCAGAGCGTGTTTGATACGGTCGTAGCTGAACTATCTCAGGTCAAAGGGAAGTGGCTGGAAGTGTGCTAGTGGTCTCTCTCATTAACCCAAGAAAGCCTGATACGTGTTCCTGAGCTTCCACCAAGAGAGCCATTTACTCTTTAAAGTACAGAATGGAATTATAGAGAAACTGGATTATATAAACACAATTTTCTGCTACTCTGCAGGTCGTAGATTCTGATGAATTTTAAGGGCTTCACTCTATTCCCGGGGAAAAGGGGCATTTTTTTTCTTTAGCTATATTGGCACTTTGTGGCATAAGCAAGCAGCTATTAATGCTCGCATGGCTGTTTTGCCTTGTCATGCTGACAAAGAGGAGTATTTCCTGATAAAGTCTGTCTCTTCTGAGACTTTGTACTCTCGAGCAGAACAAAGGTTTGGTTTTGCCTTTAGGAGCGAGCTTCCCTGTCCCACTAAGCACAGGGCAAAATCTCTTGAGCAGGATCTCTTTGGGTTTCCAAGTCCGTTGGGTTCAGGCAGGAGCACGGGTATGTGTGGGTTCTTCCAGACCATCACTGCCCACTCAGCTGAAGAAAGCTGTGAGGTTATTGCAGTACGTTACCTTGCCATCCAGGGAACAACGTGAGATAAGAGCCCACGTGCCAACTGTCACCGTCAAGAAACTGAGCGTTAGCAACTCACCCCACGTGGGGTAAGGCTTGAAAAGGTTTAATGGAAGCACTATGTCTTGTAAAAGTTATCGATGAAGTGTTGCTTGAAGACTTATAAGTAGGCTTCTGAGGAGAATCCAAGTTCATCCCCAGGTGGGATCATTTTTTCCTGCTCTGTCACTTTGCCGCAACCTTACACTGTAGCCGAGCTCTGCTTGGGTGTTCTCATAGCTGGGGCGTCTCGTGGAGGCGGATGGCCCTGCTCGTCAGCAGCCCTGTGGTCATTCATCAGAGCCCAAGTTTCCTCCTGAGAAGGCAAAGGCAACAGAAGAGATCTGGGCGTGTGTCAGAGCGCCGTGAAGAAAAGTTTCAATATAAGCCATCAGTTGAGTTCACTTCATTAGAGCGACTTGTTGCTAACCTCGCTCCCCGGGAGCTGCGGTGGTGTCATGCTGCTCCTGCAGAGGCGTGTTTCTGGTACCTGGGAGCTTGATAGAATTATAGCGATAGCATCGCAGGGCCTTGAACTGATGCTTCGTTTTCTTATCTAAATAATAAATGGTAGTTCTGTGTAGGCAAAGACTAGAAAGATTTGAATATGTTCTGTTCCTCACTACCGAAGCTGTTTGTTTCTTCCGTTTTGATGCAAAATTTCATTTTGATTTGCAAAACACACACAACCTGCGCTTAATCATTCTATTAGCATCCATGATGGCTGGAAGCATAGAGACACATTTTCTTCTTTCGGGTGAAATTTCAGATTCCCTTTTCTTTGTGTGATTCCCAGCGGTGAGCCCCTAAAAGTGTGCATAAACCTTCCTCCAGCCTCCTGACATCCAGAACCTATGAAAAAAACAGATAGGGGAGCTCTGCTGCGCTTGCAGAAGCAGGAGATGTTGCATATTTTGCATTCATAGTGACCTTTAAAAATAAAAGTTAGTTGCCGGTCTGCATTTGGTTGCAGAGACAAAAACTGAGGTGGGGTGTGAATTATTCTGCGCGGAGTCGTTCGTTTTGGTGGATGGAGCTGAGCAGTGTCGAATGTGTGTCCGCACCGGGCTTTCAGGAGCAGGTTAGCCAAGTCAGACGTCATCACAAAACTCTTGTCTTCATATTTGAATTTGTGGTGCTTTTTTTATTTTTACTTTTTTTTTTTTGCTTTGTGTTTAAGTATTTTAGTTGCTAAATCTGTTTTCTGTTGCTTTGCCAGAGTTCGGAATAGCTGCTAATTGGAAAATAGTTCCTGAGAGAAAAAAATGCTGAGAATCACCACAATTAGATAGCTGGTTATTGCTTAAGCTTTTAATTATATTTTAACCACGTAGACCAAGTTTTATTATTCTAACTTTTGTTTTCTTCTTCTGCAGATAATATCTTTAGTTTCCAGGTAATTTTTGGTATGAGTGTGATGGAATTAAAAATTAATAAATGCAAAATTAAAAATTTCGCTTGATGCAGTGGAAAGCTTTTGTCGTTTTCCAAGTTTGAGCACTTGAAAACCAGTTATACTCAATTAGTTTTAATAGCAATTTCAGTCTCTCAGTTATGTAGTATTTGGGTTACAAAAGCTGTTTAAGAACAGGAATCTTGCAGGAAGAGCTAGCAGCAGGTCTGTAGAGATTCCTTAGGGCTGTTCCTTTCAAAAGAGTCCATTTTCTGCCAGGAGACTGGGTTCGAGACTCATTTCTTCTAATGAAAATTTACAATTTGGCAGCTTAAAAGATCTATTCATTACACCACTTTACCTCTCAGAAGTAGTCTTTGGATTTGTCTGGGTTTTTTGTAAAATGGGACTGTGTCACTGTGTGACGTGTTTTATTGTAGAGTCTAGTTCTTTTTTTTTCTCTTGTGCCATTAGTCCAGAAGTTTACAGTGTAAAAAAATCCATATGTAAGTGGACATTCAGCACGAAAATCCCACTAAGAATGCCACATGTGTAAATGATGGGATAGGTGAAAGCAAGTGAGAAATATTTGGGAGTAAAAGTTATGTACAGCTGATGAGGAAAATCAAGGGATCTAATAAAATAACCACAATGAATAGAAATAAAGATGTTAAGTCTTCTCAAATGTCAGAACATCTGAAATGTGAGAAACTCTAGGTCTAGAAATCTGGTAGTGACGAAGGGCAGATTTGGGAAGGGCTATGTATCCCTTCCATAGACTCAGAACAGTAATTTCTGCTGGTGAAATATGCAGAACAGAAAAGAGTAAAATATAATTAAATAGGGAGGAGTGCCCAGGACCAATACCAATCTGTGAGGAGTTTCTGTCCCACTCAGACAGAATTTGTGTTAATACAGCCAAGTACAGTGTCATGTAATTGGGAACGGAACACTGCTGTGGAAAACGGGGACTTGAAGAAGGATTTTAGGAGGTTTTGATGAAATAGACTATGGGCAAACTGTCAGATCAGTGATGTTGCTGAGCTCCGCTTTCCGAGCCCATCGCTTGTGTAGACGCACGGCTTGGGTTTTTCTTGTGTTGTTTTGGGGTTTTTTTTATCATTTGAATTGGCTGGTAACTCACAGTAATTTATTTAACCAGACTCTTAGCTGGTTAATGTTTTAACTGCCGTGCGCTTTTCTGGGAGTTTATATTGGTATAAGTTAGAGGGTTTATAAAAAATAGTAATCGAGTAATGCAGAAAGAGAAGTCTTACTTTATTAAAGATATTATTGCAAAGAATTAATATATGATATTTCCCACACATATTTAGCTCTCCACATCTCAAAATACTCTTAAGTAGAACCAGTGGGCAACTGCAAAACTTACTAGAGGGTGGAGTGGGAACTAATGAAAGAAGTAATGCTTTTCATGGAATTTTTAGTTTCCCAAATTAACAGCTAAGTACCTAAGAGTAGTTTTCCCAAAATCATTTTGAAAATGGCAGTGATGGTAAAATGCAGAAGTCTGAAGAGACAGGGGCAAGGAGAAGAGCCAAGACCATAATTCAGGCCAGGTTGTTGGGTTTTTTTAAAAGAAGAGCCTGGTTTTAAGTATTTCTGTCCTAGAAGCTGCTTTGGGCTTTTCGCCCTTGCCCCAAAATTTTTACAGACTCATTCTTGGCTAAATCACTTTTTAGAAGATGCAGAGACAGCATGCTGTAGTACTCGGTGACTTTCATCCTGAAAATAGTCTGTTAAGGCAAGAGTTGGAAAAATGCCATTGAGAATGGAGCCAACATTACAGCTGTTTTGTTGTAAGTAAAAAATAAATATATATATGTATGATCATGCAGCATAATACGCCATTGGTAGTCATAGTGATACTCTGAGCTGCAACAGTGCTCAGTGTGATGTTCTGGATAGGCAAATAAATCTGTTTCACAGAAGAGCACATCTGAGGGGAGCCCACGGTTTTGACTGGTTGTGCTGGGCTGAGAAGGAAGTTTTATTTCCTGGCCCGCTGCTGGGGTTGCGCCGGTGTCTCAAGGGAGCGCGCGATCTCCGTCAGGGGAACCACGGGCACTCATTGGCAGTTAACAGCTGAATTACGGTTTCTTTGGCATGGA